CGTTCCTCTTCCAGTCTCTCTCTTCACTCTAAACCAAAGCCAGTGGATTTCTTTCAACATGAAAATGTTGAAACTGTTTTGTTACATGAGTTTGTTGTTGATAAGTTCTTGTTGGAGTTGAATGGTTCTTAGCAATTTAATAATTTATTCTTTATTTTTAAATATTATTATAATTATTCTTTATTGTAAAATACTCATTTTATGTTCACCCAGTGCTTTCTGGTTTTATGATCAGTTACAATCGTAGAACTGAGCCTAAAAATATCAGACCTCAGTTGTCTTGCCTTGGGGTGCAAAAGTGTGATGACTTACGTAATTGTGGGCTTCTTGTTCTTTTTTAAAAGCTGTGGCCTGCAGTCTTTTGGGAACTAATATTAAACCAAAGGAAACAACAAGCTTCAGAGTTGCCTGGACTAATGGATCACACAAAATACCCAAGATAATTTTACTTTCTTGGCCTAGATCATAGATTTTTAGAAGTTAATTCCCAAATCAAATGTGACCATTTTTTTAGTCTGACCCTCGTTTTATGACGTAGAGGTACAATCTGCTATCTGAGCTGGGTAAGCGGACCCCTGGCCCTTTGCAAAGCAGCCTCAGATGTGATGACAAAGTGCCATTCACCCTGTGATTTGTTTGAATAAAGTCAGTGTAAGAGGCTGTCCCTCCATGCTCTGATTGAATGAAGTAAGAAGTATTAAATTACCCCAGGAGCCTCCTGTCTTTTCTGTTCCCTTTAGGTTTATTGACTTGAGATGGTCTCTGGGTCAGGGGTTTGTATCCATAGCATGTGACAGGGGAGAAGCTGTGTGCAGACCTACCTGAGAGCAGGAACATTCAGCTTCGCAGTGGCAACAACACCAGTCTGAGATGTCTTGAGTTGCCAAACTTAGGTATCGCACCGGGATTCATATCAATCAATTATCTCAGATTTATCATGTTCATTAATTTAATCTGTGCAAATATCAAAATCAAAAAGATGTTGACCAGTAGGGCTAGACTTTGTGTGTGTGTGTGTGTGTGTGTGTGTGCAACATGAAAAGTAAATGTCATAAAAGCTTAAAGGCTAAACAAATGTTCTCTTTAGCATGTTGGAGAAAATTATTATTCCTATAATATAAATATTATGAAACCTATAAATTTCACTGTGTAAATGGTTACCTTTAAAATTATGACAAATTGCTTAAACTATTTGTAATAATTTTCAAATTTTTAAAGCACGCCACCTCATTTTTACAGTGTCTCCCACTGAGATTATACACTGTTGTAATGTGTCCAGTTAATTCTTGTCTTTTTCCAGCATATTTTTGAAACACACAATTAAGTCATAATGTTATCATTCACATTATAGCAAAGCGTCACATTGTTGTTGCAACGTTTGCAGTTATTGCAGAAGGTGCCCAGTTGCACGAAAGGGAATATTATGGGCTGCTGCCCTGGTAGGTAAGCGGCTACGAGCAGGAAGGTGACATTCCGCTGGGGTTGCAGGCGAGATGGGGAGGTCAGCGATGGGGTAGATCATCAAGCACTGCAGCTGGTGCAGCCTTACTGATGTAGCCTTTAATTCTGGTTTACAGAAGTGAGTTGAGGGGGAGAAGGATAAAGACATTGGGGAATGAAAGGCGAGCTGAAGAGGTGTGTTTATATCTCCAGAGGAGTAAAACCATTCAAAGCAGAGGGAGGAAGTCATGGATGCACCTCTGTTAATGAGACCCTGTTTCCCTAAGGAATTTTGGCTCCATTAGCTGGTCCTTGTTTACATCTCCCATCAGCGCTTCCCCTCGTAATGCTCTCCTGCTGTGCTGTAAAGAGCTGAGACTCTATCTCTTGTGGGCTTCCCCTCAGTGCCTACTTCCTGTTTATTGTTATCTTAAGTAAACACTCTATTTTGGCAAGGATTCGGTTGCATCTTTTGCATATAGCATTTCTTTCTAATTTGGTGTAAACGCTTTGTGTAAACAGCTCATTGTATTGTCCACTGCAGTGTTGTGTATGAGACTGAGCTCCTGACGGTATACCATCAGGCCGGTCCAATAGTAGCCCAGAAGTCTCACTACCCGCTTTGTTCTTTGTGTTCTTTAGCCTTGCCCAACAGTTGTACACTAATTAGTTTAAATAGTTCATTTCATTAAAAGCAGAGCCCCCTAGTAATGGATTTGCCCACCTTTTCATAAATCTGTAGTGTTGCTCCCAGACTGGCCATTTTTAAAACTAATTCCGGAACACCTGGAGTTTAGCAGTATATTAGAGATTTTTGGATGAATTGTATAAATCGTAGCTTGTTTGCAAAGCCCGGAGTGATATACTGCCAATGATATACTGTTTTTTTGCATTGTTTATTGATCATAGTGACCTGATTAAATGAAACGTACAGGAACAGTAAATCCACCTACTCTAGGACACGTGGTGGGGCCTGTCCCTCCCACAGTAAGAGGACGGCAGCGCGGCTTTCTTAAGCCGCTGGGGTGTTTGTCGTACGGGAAGGTCTGCCGAGGTTAGCACAAGCCCGTCCACGTTTCACTCT